AAGTCTCTAGGCTGAAAATGATTAAATCATTACTTGAATAAATTCGAGATAAATTTGAATTTATAATTCATCAAATCGGTGTAATTATAAGAATTATAAAGGATTATTGATTTACGAGATTGCGCAACACGATTGTTATTACAATTCATTATTGTTGTTGTGAATATATACACGTTGTTATCAGACGAAAGTTATACTAAAAGTTGTTAAGAGAGTGTAGTAATCGAAAGATCCCCGACTCGTGCACGATCATAAATTGTGCAAATTGTTGCTGTTTAAGATTAGTCGCATGCGTTGAATAATCTTTCAAACGAACACGATTTTGAACGATTTTGAACGATGAATGAATTATTGTGAAAGAATATTGCACACAGGATTAAACACATTATCCTCGACGAAGGATACGTAGAAAGTGATTCTTTGTGACCGATTAGAATTATAAACTACGACATACGTTAATGTGCAACAGACTTCAATCATTTATCAAACAATTATTATATAGTAAAAATGAATAAACATAGTAAATTCTTTACATGATATTAATTATATAAATATTAAATTTGCAAATTTAGATAAAAAAAAATATGAAAGTCTATTGATAAAATGAAATTAATATTTTACCTTAACTTATTTGAAAGATTTGATCCTTCTATCTATTATATGTATGAATTTCAATTTAATTGAATATTCACAATTTTACCATTAATATTTTTGTATAATAATTACTGATTTATTCCATCACGAATCAGTATTATATTAAATTTATTATATATCAGTATCAGTATTATATTAATGCTATACAAGAGACTTCAGTCATTTATCAAACAATTATTATATAGTAAAAATGAATAAACATAGTAAATTCTTTACATGATATTAATTATATAAATATTAAATTTGCAAATTTAGATAAAAAAAAATATGAAAGTCTATTGATAAAATGAAATTAATATTTTACCTTAACTTATTTGAAAGATTTGATCCTTCTATCTATTATATGTATGAATTTCAATTTAATTGAATATTCACAATTTTACCATTAATATTTTTATATAATAATTACTGATTTATTCCATCACGAATCAGTATTATATTAATGCTATACAAGAGACTTCAATCATTTATCAAACAATATTGCTTTCGCGACGATTTATCGTATGTTAATCGATATCCTTTTCCAGTTCTATTCAGTTCTTTTTATCCTTCAGACGTACGTCTTCATTTTCTATTTCGTCAAATTTTCCATGTCGTTAATTCTCCACCAGTTTTTCATCTGCCACTATTCATTCATTAACTACAAAGTTTCCATCGTTTCTCATTACCATAACGATGTTTCGTAAATATCATAAATTTCCCTCGTATATTCAAAGAGTTGGCAACAAATCCTCGATCGTTCAGTTTCGATAACGACGTTAATATCAGAGGAATACTACCAGCGTCTTCTAATCGATAAAGGAATGTAATTGAATCGATAAGCATCCACTCGCCAGATAAACATCTTTATCATCTCGTTAATTTATGATTTTGATTAACCGCACGCTCGTAATCGCGAAGATAAAGACATTCTGTTGCTGAATGATAATCTTCAATAGTTTTACAATGTCTAACATCGACAAGTAAACACGTCATCGATATCATCAGTGTTTCAGGAGCTGACAACCTATTTGCAAATTCGATCGATCATGTATAAAACACTTGAACGTAGATGAATGAAATTGAAGTAGAAACCAATGTAAATTTAACAAGTACAACGAGCATAATTTGAACGAAATGTATTATTTAAGTTATACTAAATATGTCGGCGACAAATTGTACACAATGTGTTCTATAAAACTAAGATATATATATTTTTTATAATTAATAATTAAATATTAATATACATATATTTATTAATATATACGTTAATACAATGTCATAAGTGACAATAGTCTAAGAAAGATAAAAGAATGCTCTGCTAATTTTCCACTCTTGAGCCTGTTTCCCTAGGTATTCCCAATTGACCTAGTTAGCAGATAAAAATCGTGAAAGATAAAGCCGATGTTTACTTCTAATTGCTCGCTTCAACAATCATTACGTACATCTGATAAACAGCGCAATGGTTAATCTGACTGACGAAACGTATGTCGCCATCACTGGCACGAGCGACAACAAAGCAAACAAAAAGATTTTCGATTCTCTTTGACGATCTCTTAGCCCTTTGCATTGCATCATTGTTGATGAGGTATGATCACAACTGTGTCTCACGTTTGTCCCCTTCAAAATTCAACTAATTATAGGAAAATAACTAAAATTCGTGGAACATCCTGATACAGCAATTTGCAATGATAATCGTGGAGATCCAGTGATAAATGTTTAATCGCAGGAAGAA